GAGACCATAGAAATAGTGGTTATCTCTGCCATGGTTACATAAACAAGTGTTAGGTGTGATAATTCTTGCTCCCAGTGGATTATTCTGATGTGTGGATTGTCGCCCACATGGGGGGTGCCCGACACAACCAAGCGCGCGCGTATGCCCCTACTTCTCGGACACCGCAGGCCAGACCATCACCTCTGTGCCCCATACTCATAAGATCAAGTTTTTTCGTCCGTATGGGCCCAATAGCAGAGGTCGGAGGCGGAAGTATCTGTCGCCCAAGGTGCTGTTCACTATGCCTGGTAACATTCATTGCTGCGTCTGTGCTAGCCCGAACCAAAACTGCACAAATTGTGTTTGTGCGAGAAACAACCGACCATGTGTGGATTGCAAGAAGCGAGACCAGTGTCGGAACCCACGTGGCAGGGAGCCGACACAGTGGCCACAGTGGATATCGCCGGGACCCAACCACCCGATGATATCCTAAATGATAGCAGTGAGTCTACTCAACCCGAAAATGTAGTACTAATAAATGCTGCTCCCTTAGTAGCAGATGTCCATAAGGAGAATGAGAGACAGCCACCTCAGTGGAATGGCATGTCGATGGAAAATGCAGACAAATGGGTCAAAGAAACCTACTCAGAAATTGTCAAGTGGTCGCCCACTTACGTATTTGAACCACCCAAGTGTGCGGCCACCAAAGAAATGATTCGGGAGATGACTCGCCTCATGACTGATTACACTCAGGACCGCTTCCTCGCCCCCTTTTGCTCTTCAAATACTGGCAATAATACCACATCTATTTTGTCAGAGGACACACACAAAGACTAAGCACAAAGAAAATGTGGCGGCAATGAAGAGAAGATTGGCAATGTGGCATACTGGGGCCCTTGATGATCTCCTATGTGAAGCAAGAACACTGCAGGAGAGACTAAAAATTACGGGTGACGGAAAGCAAAACACCGATGACGTGGCAAGAAAATTTGGAAACAAAATGCGTTTGGGAAAAGTGTCTCTGGCGGTAAGATCTCTCACAGAGGAATCCTCCGGTGGGGTGATGCCAATAAACAGAGAGACATTAAAACTACTGAAAGAGAAACATCCCCCTGCAAGCGACGAAGAAGGAATCAGGTTCGAGGGTGTCTATATCCCACCAAACGCTATCCTGTTCGAGAAAATAACAGGAGAGATGGTGTGGAAAAAGGCACTGAAGACTCGAGGAGGAGCCGGCCCTTCAGGTCTGGATGCAAACGGTTGGAGAGTTATCCTCAGCACAAACAAGTTTGGCCCTGTAGTAAGCGATCTCTGCACTGCCATTGCCGCCCTTGCAAGAAAGCTTGCATCCTCTCGCTGCCATCACCTCCAGGCCCTGACGGCCTGCCGCCTTATTCCTCTGGAAAAGAAACCAGGATGTAGGCCTATAGGGGTGGGGGAAGTGATGAGGCGGATCATCGGAAAATGCATAATGGAGGTGGTAAAGGATGATGTCAGGGCAGCAGCAGGGAACCTACAAGTGTGTGCTGGCCACCAGGCTGGTGGGGAGGCGGCCATTCACGCCATGAGAACGATATTTGAGCAGCGTGACTGTGAAGCCGTTCTCCTGGTGGATGCTTCAAACGCATTCAACATACTTAACCGCAAGGCTGCACTGCACAACATCAAGATCAAGTGTCCAAGCTTTGCAATGTATGTTGAAATTCGTATAGGAATCCTTCAGACCTCTATATAGTAAACAACAAGGCTCTAAGAGGTGATACCATCTTACAATCAACCGAGGGAACAACACAGGGGGACCCCGTTGCAATGGCAATGTATGCAATTGGCCTATCAGTGCTCCAACAAGAAATAAAATTTGAAACAACTGGGGTCAAACAAGTGGCATATGCTGATGACCTTACAGGAGCAGGAAAAGTGGAGGGCATCAAAAAGTGGTGGGACTTGGTAACATCGCGAGGTCCACAAATAGGGTACCACCCAAACGCCAGCAAGTCCTTCCTCATCGTGAAGTCAGAACATTATGAACGGGCAATGGAGGTTTTTGGCGGAAGTGAGGTCAAAATAACTAATGACAGCCAAAGACATCTAGGCGCAGTAATTGGCACTACGGACTTCAAGACCGAGTACGTAGCGGGAAAGGTGAATGAGTGGGTTAGTGAAATTCAAGCTCTGTCTGAGATTCCTAACACAGAGCCACATGCTGCCTTTGCTGCATTCACCCATGGAGTCAAGCATCGTTGGAACTACCTGATGCGTACTATCCCTGATATCAGACACCTCCTCCACCCTCTGGAAGAAGTTATCAGTGTCAAGTTCATTCCCAAATTAGTGAAACACCCTGACTTAACCCCAGCAGAAAGCCCTTCCATCAAGACTGGGAGGGATGGGACTAACCAATCCAGAGGAGATTGCTGCCACTGAACATCAAAATTCACTAAAGCTCACAGCAGCCCTCACGGACCACATAATAGCCCAGAATGCAACAGGCGAAGTGGATACCAGTGAAGTAAATAAGATTCGTAGGTCCATTACGACAGATCGACAGCACTGCCAAAATGATAAGTTGCAGCAACTGTTGCTGCAGGTACCAGAAAATTTGAAAAAAAAGTAGCTATAATGCAGGAGGTGGGCGCCTCGAACTGGTTAACTACGTTACCGATAAGGGTAAATGGTTTCAGTCTTAATAAACAAGAATTTACAGATGCCATTGCTCTAAGGTACGGTTTGCCCTCCCAATGCGTGTGTGGCTCTTCCTATGATGGCGATCACGCCATGGTGTGCAAGAAAGGGGGCTTCATATGCATGAGGCATGACGAGGTAAGGGACCTCACAGCAAATATGTTGAAGGAAATCTGCCGTGATGTCATGGTAGAACCGACCCTCCTTCTATTGGATGGTGAGATCTTCCAACACAGAACTTCAAACACATCTAACGAAGCCCGTGTGGACGTCAGTGCTCGAGGATTCTGGACGCGGGGACAGCGAGCTTTCTTCCACATCAGGATTTTTTATCCCATGGCCGCATGTCACCGTAACCTAGTTCTCAATGCTGCACATAGGAGGAACGAGAACGAAAAGAAAAGGGTGTATGGGGAGAGATTTCAAAACGTTGATCAAGGCAGCTTCACTCCTCTAGTGTTCACAACCTCTGGTGGGATGGGACCAAGGGCAAGATGTTTCTACACCAGACTCGCAGAGGTGATCTCCGAACAGAAGCAGCAGCCCAGAAGTTATGTTACAGCCTGGATGAGATGTCGACTGTCTTTCTCTCTCTTTCTGTCGGCTTTGCTCTGCCTCAGGGGAACGAGAGCTTCTGCCCCAACTCTGACAACTGCTGCAGATATTGACTATGAGGCTGCAGTCACTGAATACTGCATAGATCTGCGGCTCAACTAATTTAACACATATAGGATAGCTACTTATGTATTAGGATATTTAATATTAAGGTAATTAAATGGTGGCGAAGGTGTGGCTATTGGGGGAGGCTGGAGGCCACTTTAAAAAAAAAATAGTAGTAGTAGTAGTGTGTGTGTGTGTGTGTGTGTGTGTGTGTGTGTGTGTGTGTGTTTTGTGTTGGAAAATCAATTCATAATGGCTGGATTTTTATTAGATAAAAGGAAGAAATTCCAAAAAAAACTGACCCTAAAGCACTTACCTAAACTAATGCTCAACACAGCAAAACTCTCAGTGAAAAAAATTACATTATCAAATTTAATAACGATTACAGTTAATGATGATGATGATGATGATGATGATAATGATGATGATGATAATGATAATTAAGATGATGATGATGATGATGATAATGATAATGATGATGACTAAGATGATCATGATGATGATGATGATGACTAAGATGATCATGATGATGATAATGTTTAAGATGATGATGATGATGATGATAATGATTTAGATGATGATGATGATATGATGGTGACTATTGTAATGATTGTTTATCAGACCATAGCTTACAGCTCAGAGAAGAACAGCGCCTATAACAATAAGTAGATGAGCAGGTGTCCACCCACTTAAGTTGACACATCCTACAGTGAGATTAAGACCTGACCCAGGAGAGGGCACGGACAAGGTACCTGAGTTAACCCGGCGTTATGACCGTGTTAAAGAATGGACACCTAGCCAAGACACACCCGGGTGGTAATAATTAGGAAGCATTACCGACCGGCGACATGACCAAGCACCTGGGCAAACACAGCCGCCCAGATCTAACCAGTTTAGTGTTAATTAGGAGAGGTCATCTGCCGGCTTGTCTCAGCCAATATAAAGGAACTGCAGCTCTTTCCACGGGGATTATTATTGTAACAGGGAAGTGGCCAATAGCTCCTTCCCAGAGTCAGACAGGAAGAGACAGAACTCAGAAGACACTAGTCGAGGTCGGAAGGGAGACTTCCCTCCCCACTTCCAGCACCGAGTCCCCAGCTAGCAGAGTCTCCCACAGGAGACAGAGTCCAGCCAAACCTGCTGACATCCCCCTGCCGCTGGACCTCCCTCACGTCACACGTGAGTCATTGTCAGAGGGATCCAAGGGTGAGTTTCTTACTTTGGGAAGTGTATCTATTTCATGTTTGTGTCCGAAAGTCATTGTCGAGTAAAGTCAATATATTAATGTGTCCATGCCATTGTGAAAAATAATAAATAGCTGTACTTAGAATTGGTGTTTAGAATATTTTCCCCTAAGAATATAATACCAAGTTAAATAAACTAATTGGCCACGCTACCAACCTTCCTCACTTTACAATCCCCCTAGTATAAATTCTACCTATTCTTTCCACACTTAATTTACCTGTATTACATTATGACTGACTATGACAATGTCAATGACGATGCGATGATAATGATAATGATGACGATGACAGTGACAGTGACAATGATGATGAGGATGATGATGATTAAAATAACACAGAATTATGACTATATCAACGTAATATAAAGTATCACCAAAAAGTTACTCACGTCACCTTAAACAAGACACACCCCTGAACATGTCACTTTAAACTCACCTTTATACCCCTTGCCCTTCTTCTTGAAGAGAACGATGACAACGACCACGACGATGAGGAAGACAATCCCACCGATGATGGCCACCAGGGTAGTGACGAGGGGTAGGCTCTCTGTGTGGGATACATGGAACATAACAACATAAGAATGGAGGAAACTACAGCGAGTTTATTGGCCCATACTGGGCAGTCCCATTTACACCCAGCCCCTATTGCTCATATATCCACCCAACCTATGTTTGAAGCTATCCAGCATATGCGAGTTAATGATGATACTTGGTAACTTGTTCCACTCGTCCACTAATCTATTTCCAAGCCAAAGTTTACCTATTTCGAGCCTAAATCTAAATTTGTTTAATTTAAAACCATTGTTGCGAGTTCGCTTCTGGTTGGATAGTTTGAGTACCTTTGTAATGTCCCCTTTGTTTAGCCCTGACTTCTTTTTATACACCTCGATAATGTCGCCCCTCACTCTACGTCTCTCGAGGGAGTGCAATTTAAGATGCTTTAACCTGTCTCTGTACTCAAGGTTCCTAATGCCCGGGATTAGTCCTGTCATTCTTGTTAACACTGTGTGGGATACATGGGTTGGTTAACACTGTGTGGGATACATGGGTTGGTTAACACTGTGTAGGATACATGGGTTAGTTAACACTGTGTGGGATACATGGCTTGGTTAACACTGTGTGGGATACATGGCTTGAATTGTCACTTTCTGTTCAATATTTTCAACTTTTTTTCACTTATTTAGTTACTTTTATTGTTTTCATGTTACGGTACTAAACACAAACATAAATTTAGTTACAAAACATTGCACTTTACGAAATGTTGATGTTCACTATAAATTAAGTGAGGTCCATAGGTGTGATTGGGTATGGTGTGGGTACAAAACCTTTAGTACGCAAAGTACTCATTTATAGCTGGTACTGCCCCAGGATGAAACCAGCGACTTGTAGCCGGCGTACCCCTTGATACTCACAGTACTCGTACATTCATGCAAATATTCCATAAAGTGTCATCCCATACATAGTGGAAACTAATAAAAAAATTCCTCACATTTTTTCAGAGTTGAGTGTACGGATTCTCAATGATACGTAAGTTATCATTTTTTGCAAACTTATGATGTAATAACACAACATATTGATTCACTTACCTTAAAGCAAAAATAGGGTAACAAGAATGACGTCAAAGTAATACTGAGACTCTACAGTACCCATAATACTGCCCCTCTACCAACTAAAAGAAAATTAACGAACGAATCTTTGAGAATCCAAACTTAGAGGAATGTGTTTATGAAAGAATGTGAACTCTGTGATTACACCAAAAAATATTATGACTGGATCTGCCTACTATGCTATTAAGTTCAAAGCTTAATTCCCCATAAAGAAACGCTGATGTAAAAGACAAATAAAAAGCGCCCTTACTTTACATCGAATCTCAAAACAACTTATACAATATTTTGGCCAATAACTTTGTCTCGTATCTTCAAAAGAATCAGTGAGACAGGATAACAGTTTATGGTAGACTAAGTTCATGTCGTAGTTCAGTGAGACAGAGACGTTCATTGGTGAAAAAACTTCAACCTACGAATGTTGAGGCAGGAGGCCAGAGATGGTAGCCAAGGTATGGTTCAGATACAGCCTAGCGCGCCCTTTATGACTCTATAACTCCCATAGTAGAGGATATGAACCCAATCTTCTTAGATGCAAACGAGACACAACGCCATGTATGGTCTTAGATCCTTTTTACATAGAGGTTATTGTTCTTTTTAAATTCACTAAAATATATAATAAAAACAAGCGCGTCACACAGTTTAACGTAGAATATCTGGCAACTGTATAACTTTGTCACACACACACACATTATATGTATTTTTCTTCATGTGTTTGTCTAAATATTACTTACTGAAACCAGATTTCTTAAAACATTAGTTGTATGAAAAATAAATCATAATTTTACTTCTCTTCAAAGTATACCACGATGTAAAGCATTCTCCTATAATATTTTATGTTTACTCCTATAAGGATACTTAATTTGTTCTACGAATATACGGAGGCGGGAGTTCAAGAGAGCAGCGGCGAAGGCTCACACGCTTCAGCCTGTCCAACGAAGAACAACACTGGCAGATACAGTGTATAAAATTTGTTAAGTCATTGGGGTGAAGAGAACACATGAAAGCAAAACAATAAAGAGTTCTTAAGTAAATTTTCTTCACTATCAACAGAAAGTTTAACAATATTTTATCAAAAGCATAGAAAGAACAATTCATAAGGTTCCTAATAATCTTATTGATACAAGTATAATTAGTAAACTAATATTACATAATTTTTGCACCAGCTCAAGAACGAAATGCTGATATCTACTGCCATTCATATAAGCAAAATATCAGACCACCACCTACGTTTCACTGCGTTCGTTCCTTGGAAAAATATTTTAAGCTTAAATAAAGATAAATTGTATTTTCCTTTGCTTTTTCGGTTAATTAGCAAAATAAGTTCCACCAAAAATGGTTTTCCTTCCGCCGAAAAGTAAAATAGAGAGAAAATGGTTTTTTACTTTACTTTCTTCATGTTTAAGAAAAATTATTATATATATATATATATATATATATATATATCATGTAGATCCACAATGAAAACGTGGATAAGATAAATCTTGATAAACTCACACGGGAAAAGGGAAACAACGGAGCACCTTAGCTTCCGTCTTGAATAAAGACAAAAGCTAAGGTGCTCCGTTGTTTCCCTTTTCCCGTGTGATTTTATCAAGATATATATATATATATATATATATATATATATATATATATATATATATATATATATATATATATATATATATATATATATTTATTTATTTATATATACTAACAAGTTTAATTTAGTTTTATATCGTTAGGTTATCTAATGTGAATAATCTGTAAATAAGAAAAAATACACAAGTGTGTAGTCAGTGCTGCTGCGGGAATAACATCACGAATAAATGGTCGATATTTTTTTTATGTTTTGAAAGTGGCCTCATGTTCTGAGTGAAAATAAAGAATACGAAAGCAAAGATTAATTATAAGGTAGTTGTTTGTCCTTCTATCTTAACCTAAACTAAGCTAAGTTATCCTTAGTGCTACACTATATGTTGTTAGGCTTTAAAACGACACCTGTTTTGATTGGGCTTAAATTTAACATTGATATCCTAATTTGAGCCTCCCACCACGGAGCCAGCCTCTCTCTCTCTCTCTCTCAACCTCTATGGACCACCCGTTCCTCAATACCCTCGTTAAGTCAAAAGTTTTAATACTTCCTGGGCACATAAAACGAAATCGTTGTTATAATAGTGATTTACTTAATGTAGCGCGTTACTCAGGGCCGTCGACTCAGGATATCACCTCATGGAATCAAAACACCTCTCATGCCAATTCTTCCTTTTTTTGTATTTATTTGTTTACCTGTGGGTTATTCATTCTAGCTTAACAAATAGTCATCACTCAGTAATACTTGTTTTTACCAATTCATCAATACTTTATGTGTGTATCTTTTATCCTCTGGTCATCTTACTCAGTTGATATTTTGAACGTGTGTTTTTCTCCTACAACTTATTCATACTATTATCCACTATACATCTGCTCATCAAGTAAAAAGATTTTCTTCTGAATGTTGCAAGATACAAATGATTATGAAAAAACATATTAGTAATTTAAGAAAGTGAAATGATACATTACAAAAGTCATCATCATTTTATGTAAAAATAATACTGTATGTAGCCAGAAAATAAACAACTTTTACGAATATAAACAAAGTACTACACTCATAGACCAATAACAGACCAGACGGTAAACACCGATGTTGTGAAGTGTAAACAACAAGGAAGAGCGCCCAAAGTCTCTAGCATAAAAGGACAACGTTTCTCACAGTCCTCAAAGCAAACACAAACACTCGTGATTAGGTTCACCTGGTAACCTGCTTCGTGGCAATCATGGTCATGTTGACTAACAGCATAACGTGGTGAGGGTTTGTTGATACAGAATTAACTGTGTAGGTTTAACGTTGTTGAGGTAGTTTAGTCATATTCGGAAGAAAGAGCATATATTTTTTTTATAGCAATGTATATACTTTTATATACGTCTGATCAGAGTTTACCAATTAATCCTCTGTTTAATATAGTTCATAACACTGCGTGAACCTGAGGACACGACCATTGAATTACATTATATATATATATATATCTAACACATTCACAAGTAGGTCGCCTTCTGTAGAACCCAGTCTGTTTTCTCTCCCTGGGCCCTGGAGTCTCCCCTGCGCTGTAATGGAATATACATTCTAAACCTCACAAAATTACCAACAACAACAAAAAACTGTTGTGTGTGAGGTGCTTCTCATTACCTCTCCCAGACACACAGTCAAATATCATGCTAGTTAGTAACGCTGTACCCAAACCGGAACACTCAGCATGTAAACTTTGTGATACACCTTTAAAGCATACACTTGAAGACTATATTATTGAATGTGACACTGTCAAAGACTTCAGGCCACCTGGCTTATTGTATCATGAACTTTGTAATTACTATATTGAATCAGAGGTGCTTTGGGACATTCTTGCTGTTTATCCCAAATTTACCAGACCACACTGATTAGTCTTCAATTAGAATATGACGTCCAATGTATATGAACCACTGTCTTGCATGGCAGTGAACCTTGACATCACCCACATGAATCTGACCTATATGTACTGTCAATGAATATGATGTATTTCTTTGTGTACGAACCTCTGTCCTGCATGGCAGTGAACAGTGACATCACCCACATGAATCTGATCTATATATATATATATATATATATATATATATATATATATATATATATATATATATATATATATATATATATATATATATATATATATATATATAAGAACATAAGAAAGTGGGATACTGCAGGAGGCCGACTGGCCCATACAGGGCAGATCCCTTTCACACCCATCCCAGCACTTCCATGTGCCTATCCAACTTCGTCTTGAAGCTCCCTAGCGTCCCCGATCCTACTATAGCACTCGGTAGTCTATTCCACATATCCACAACTCTATTACCAAACCAGTGCTTGCCTATATCCTTTCTGAAT